CATCATCATTTTTCTGAAGATGGGTTCCCATCCACCTCCTGTCCTAATTAACTAGCACAGGGATGCAAATTTCAAAAAATTAAGTGGGTTAGAAAATATTTAGCACATTTAGTTCCATGTTTCTTAAAAGACTATTAGATCAGAATAAATCACTATCACTAGTTGTGTTCATGTTCACAAAGAAATTTGGGGTCATAATAATTTTATATTTCCTATTATTGGACTTAGCAGTTGAGACAGTTTGAAGCAAACAAAAGACAGTCAAGTTATTAAGTTCCATAATAGGAGAGAATCCAGGAGGTTAGTAGATCCATAATTCAAAACAAAACTTTTCACTGATTATTTTAAACTGATCACCAGGTCAATGGCAAGCATTATGAGAGGTGACTTAGAAATTCATCACCTGAGTTTTAACAACAGTTGCCATTTGAAAATATTTTCCAAATGTCTGATGTCATGAGTAAATTCCTAAAGAATGACCAGGCTTTTATTTTTTTCCCCTCTTTTTTCTCTGATAACAAGATGTGTTTGCAAAAGAATCTATTTTAAGAGAGGTATGGATGACAAGATCCCTTTACCAGAAGGATAAATTAAGCTCTGAGAGGCAGACAATAAAGTACTTCATTTGTGGGCACACTGAGTTTAAAAAAGAAATAAAACCCTTCAATTCATCTGAATATTCTTTGCTCCCTGTGCATGTCATCATATGTCATTATGAGATTCAGTGCCCACAAAAGATGCCAGTCTCAAAGACTAGAAAATAAAGTTGTCTATGGATCATTTTTAAGGCATATACAGCACCTAAGAAGCATTTCACACTGCGTATATTAGGCCTCTACCCTAATCCATTTTAACATAGATGGTTCAGAAAATCTGCCTCCAGAAAAGTGGGTAACAACTAAAACTTCAACATGGATGCATATGTCTACTTGGCCTGAACCTTTCACCTTCTGTTTCAGTTGTTCAGAGGTCAAGAGCAGAGGGCTTATGTGTAAAGAGGGCATGCCTTCTAAACAATCTTTTAACAGCTTCTTGGGTAAAATGGGTCAAAGCAGAGGGATTAGGGAACCAGAATGTACCAAGGAAGGGGTTAGATTATCTCAGAGCACAATGTAAAAATGCATATGAATGTTATTTTTTAAATGACAAAAACGTAGTACAATATTCATTTTCTGTTACACTAAACACAAACAGGTAATGTAGAATGATCATAAGTAGAAGAAAATCAAACTAAGCGAGAGGCAATGATGATGTCACACTAAAGAAGAGTTTAGTTCTTGTGAGCTGTTCTATAGACAATATATGGCACATTGCCGCTAAGACTAGTGGTTTCATTTCTAGACATCAGCTCTTTTTAAATGGACTGAGGACCCATCACGATATGTCTGCAGGACATTCTATCAGCTGGCTCTCGCTATCCACCTAGCTGTATAATTGCAAACTGAAGATGGTAGAGTCAACACGTTCTTGTATTAATATTCCTTCAGGGGTCTCCTGTACACTGTTGGTGGTACTGTAAATTGATTTTATAGTATTTCAAGAGAGCAACCTAGCAACAAAAAAACAACAGCTAGAAAATTATTTAAACTCTTTGACCCAGGGAAACTGTAAAGAAATAATGGCAAAGGACAAAAATTGCATAAAGATGTTCACAGCAGCACCATTTAATAATGAAAAACTGGCAATAAGTCAAATGCCTACAAATAGAAGACCAGCTAAGTACATAATGATATATTAGCATGATTTAACTTTTAAGAATGCCAAGTATGTGTACTAGATGACATATGTACCTGCACATACTAAATAATGTCAAGTGAAAAAAAACACAACCTAAAGTATTACGTGCACACTGATGACAACTTTAACAATGATCAGAAAGAATCAGAATATTTAAAAAGCTTCCTTCCTTCCACATTGCTATCCCAACCATTAGTCTTCCCCTACCAAAAAAAACGCTGAAGCCCTCCTTTTGTAACAGATAAGGATAGTCAAGACAGTTTCCTTACTGGTTGTTTCTTAAAACGTATGCATATGTCCCATTCTTTACCTCTATAGGGATGGGGAGCCTGCGGCCTCGAAGCCACATGTGGCCTTCTCCATCCTTGGAGAGGATTGCATGAACTGTAATTTGTTCAGCTCTTTCTTGATGCACATACTTTTTTCTGTTTTTTTTTTTTGGCTACAATAATAAGAGCTATTATAAATATATGTGTATAACTATGGGTATGCTTCCTCTGTCTATGATCTTTTTAGGCCTAATTGTGGTATGAATGGGTAAAAGCAGATAAGCCTTTTAGTGATTTTATGGGTGTAGTTTTGAATGGCACCCTAGAAGGGCTGGAATAATTCAAGCTCCTCTCCTACAGCCCCTACAATTGCCATTTCTTTTTTTTGGATCATCTTTGCTAATGTGATAAGTTTGAGGGGAAAGCTCAGGATAGTTTTGTATTTCTCTTATCAGTGATTGGGAACATTTAAAATATATTCTGGTTGATAACTTGCATAATGTTTACCTTCTAACCTTATTAATTTTGTTGGTGTAAAGACTTTTAGATGTTATGAGACTGAAATTATCCATTTCATCTCTAGGGGTTCCCCTTCTCATCAGGTCAAGGACTTTCTCCCCATCCATAGTTTCAATGGAATATCCTTCCCTGCTTCTTTAGTTTGTCTCCTTATATTTGGTTGGCTTTATGTTTTATTTTTTAAACAATCAAGCAAGAAGTCTGTACGTACAAAAGTACAACATTCCTTCTTGCACTAAGCATGGAGAATTGGTTACTTGGGGTTACTAAGCATGCTGACAAACCTGACCATATAGCCTTTCAGGGCGTAAAAAACCCATAATGAGGCAAGTGGTCTGGGTCTATTTAATACCAAAAAATAAAAAAATAAGGTGAACATTTCTGAATGAGACACCAACATTTTAGTGATGCAAAACTCCATACTTCTCAAATCTTAATATCAATACTTATATAGGATTCAGTAATACAGTATGATTTAGTATTAAATATTCAATGAATCTACAAGTATAAGCATTTACAAAAGCCAACTCAAATGGAACTGACTTGTAAAGGAAACACATACCCAAAAATGACTATATAATTACAGCCTAAAACAAAGAGAGAATATTTTTTGCCTATCTAGGATCTTGTAAAACTAGGATATCTCAAAACATAAATGCCAGGTGGACTAATTCTCAACAAAATCTGCAAATTTGGAGGCCCTAATTTTATTCTGGATGAGCCCACATACATAATGTTCATACTCTGGGCTTACTCTACCAGACCTTGGCTGGCTGCAACTGCCTTTCAAGATTCTGAGAAGTTTGGGGGTGTCTATTCTTTAATGCCATTGTCTTAAACCCCCTTATTACCTAGCACCCCAGTTTCATTTAACCACTTAACATCAATTAGCTATTACAAAGGATTTGCAATTGAAATAATTCTTTTAACCCTAAGCTGATATAATAATGCTGGATGCTGGTCTTCTACTCAGTATTTTTCTCCCTTACCTACTTCAGAATAGTTGATTCAACATATAAGTCATTCACTGGGATATCTCTCTTTCTGTCTGTCTCAAAAGCTCCATCAGATGGTTACTGATTTCATCACAACCACTCTGTACAAGGTAGATATCTTTTCCGTGGGTGCCCCTGTTAATTTCCACACTTGTCTCCTGGATGCTGAATTTCTTGGTCACCACCTTGCCTAGCTCTAGGCCCAGACATTTGGTCATAGAACACAACCTTTCAAAAATGTTGCTGTAGTCTTATTTTATTTGCATGAATATTCATTAGAAATATTAGCCTACGATTTTCTTTCTCTATTTTATCTAGCCATGGTTGAAGGGAACCATACTTGTAACATAGGAGTTTGGTAGAAGTCCTTATTTTTATGTTTTTGTAAGTAATTTATGAAATATTATAATTAATTGTTCTTTGGATTTTTTGATAAAATTCATTTGCAAGTCCATCTGGTCTTGGTGGGTTTTTTTTCTTTGAGGTTTTTCTTTTATTACATGCTTAATTTCTCTTTCTATGACTGGGTTTTTAAAATTCTCTATTTCTTGTTTTGTTACTTTGGATTTTTTTCATAGATATTCACCCATATCATTTAAGTTATTGATTTTGTTGGCATATTAACTGGACAAAATGGTTTCTAATACTTTCCTTTTCTTCTTCACGCAAAACATTTCTATATCAGCCATGTTGCAAAAGAAAACACAAACCAAAAAAAAAAACTCGAGACTGAGAAAACAAGAATAAATATAATATTCATTTTTTATACCACAAGTTGTAGTATATGATTGTTATAGAATACTACTGTGCCATAATGACAAGCAGGATCCTTTCAGAAAAATCTGTGAAGACTTATATAAATTGATGCAAAGTGGAATGAGCAGAACAAGGAGAACACTGTACACAGTAACACCAACACTGTTGATAAACTGTGAAAGACTTGGCTATGCTCAGCAATACAATCATCCAAGACAATTCCAAAGGAGTTAGGATGAAAAATGCTATTCACCTCCAGAGAAAGAACTGATGGCATATGAATGCAGACTGAAGCATACTTTTTTTTTTTTACTTTTCTTATTATTCTTGGGTTTTTTTGGTCTGTGTTTTCTTTTGCAACATGGCTAATACAGAAATATTTTGCATGACTGTGCATGTATAATTTATATCAAATTGCTTGCCTACTCAAGGAAGGCGGAGAAAATGGAGCAGGGGAGAAAATGGAGGAAGGGAGAGAATTTTGAACTCAAAATTTAAAAAAGAAATTAAAAATGCTTGTTAAATGATTAACATGGAATTAATGTTTTACATGACTGCACATGTAATAACCTTTATCAGAAGGCTTGCCTTCTTAATGGTGGGGGTATAGGGGAGGGATGGTGAGAGAAATTGGAACTAAAAATTAGAAAAAATGAAGATTAAAAATTGTTTTTATTTGTAATTGGAAAAAACAAAATATTAAAATAAAAATACACCTCAAGCAAAAAAATTTGTTTCCATTTAAATTAGAAAAAATTAAATAAGAATTACAAATACTATCTTTAACTGAATATACTGAGATCTAAAGCTTATTTTCCTCTTTTTATACTGAAACCATCTTAACCTTTAGGTCTGAACCTTGGATGTTGTTAGAGATTCCTCTGATATAGAGTTGATAATTGGTAACATAGGAGTTTGGTAGAAACCCTTATATATCTCCTTATTTATTATGTCTTAGGAGAACCCAGGAGTATAGAGACCAGAGGCTAAGACATGTTCAGCAACCACCTTTCCATCTTCCTGGGGATCACTCAGGAATAAAAATCTTGACAAGTTTTATTCACTGGTTGATTTACAAGATCAAGCTTTTACTTACATGGGGTGGCAGGAGCAGTCTATAGATTGGGAAAACTTGCCCCATGACTCTCAAGAGGACACAGAGGCAGAAGATCAGCACCTGGAATTTAAAGGAAGGTATTAACCCTTCAGAAATCTAAGCTGTTTGCACTTTAAGCATTCCAGAATAAAAGCAAAATTCACCCTTTCCCCCTTAAACATATTCCTTGTTTGTCACAGAAAAATGAATTTTTTAAAGGAAGGAAAAAAATTATGGTTAAAAAGCAAACCAAATCAAACACTTCTTTCTGCTTAAGAAACAGGATGGAAAAGTTGCTGTTCACGCAGTGACATATGTCTCCTTTTCCTGGTGTTTGAGAACTTGAGGTGTGGCTGTTGCTATGGGAACTGGTTGCTATTTCACAGATCATCAAGGTTTGCCTCACAAGATGTCTAGTGAGATAAAATATGGTGCAAAACTAGAGATCCGACCATAGAAGAAAAGTAGGGAAAACAGTCCAAACAAAAGCTACCTGGAGGTTTCTATTTCTAAAACCGATTCTGCAACATCATGATAAAGCATCACAGAATTCAGAAGGCCTGAAGAAGACAGCATCAGGATGTAAGTACAGCTTCCTTTCACCGCATCTGAATCTGGAGGACAATTTAGCCAAATTCAAGCCACATTATGCTATCTCCTAAATGGTCTAATTTTGCAACTGGAATGTGTCTCACTTTCAGCATGGGATAAGCATATTCTGCAGTGGAAAAACCGTAACTATAAAGTCATTCTTCTCATAGGATTATCCTACCTTTTTACATTCATCACTGCCTCTCATCTTCTATACGTGGGATTTAAAATTTAAGTTGATCATTGTGCAGCCTCAAAAGTCTTTTTTAGTCATCTTTACTTTTCTTCCTCAATAATATAATTTCTCCTCAGGTCACAAAGATTTAATTGTTGAAAGCTTACCAGCCCTCTTGGGCCAATTTCTCCTGCAAAATATTAGCCCAAACATTAGCCTACCTAGCCTTTTCCTGAACCCTTGAGATCCTTTCTCTCCAAATCTAGGGTACACATCAAACTATGCCCAGATACCCTCTCTTCTATCATAGAACTTTACCATGGTGGGATCATTTGTCCCCAGGGTTCTCATCATTGATACTTCAGCAATGGTTCCCTCCATCTTGGTGAAGATCAGATCCAGAATTGTAGTACCCTTGACATTTTCTCTACTTCTGAAGAAATTATGATTAAGTCAAGTCACAAATGTATCAGATATCATGCTTTTGTCAAAGGAAGAGTTCCAGCAAAAGCACAGACAGTTGAAGTTACCACTGCTGCAATATTATGCTAAGTTTATAATCTAGTTCCCAAATTCTTTGTCTAATTCTTCTTACTGTTTAGGTGATCTGTTGTATATATTTCTGGAAACAATGCTACTTCTATTCCTAATGTTTTATACTGTGTCCCCCTGCCCCGTGTTCCTCAATTTTCTCAGATGAGTTTGCCTTTTTAAAATATTTTGTTTTACTTTAGTAAAATATATCATATTCCAAAATTTCTGGGATGCAGCCAGAGTAGTCATTAGAGAAAATTTTATATCACTAAGCACTTTAATTAATGAGAGAAAGAAGAGACCAATGAATTGGGTGTGAGACTAATACGATTAGAAAATGAATGAATCAAAAAATCCCAAATAAACACAAAATGGGAATTCTGAAGATAAAAGATAAAACTTAAAAGCACAGAAAAAATCCTTTGGTTGGTAAAAATGAATAAGGAGCTGTTTTTTTGAAAAAGACTGAAAAACAGACAAACTGTTAGTTAAATTGATAAAAAAGGAAAGCCAAATAACTGAATTAAAAAATGAAAATGAATTAATAACAAATGAAGGGAAAATAAATTGTTATAATCATATGCCCAATTATGTACCAACAAAACTTACAGCTTAAATGAAATACATGAACATTAATGAAAATACAAAAGACTCAGATTAAAAGAATAAGAAATAAAGAATTTAAACACCGTGGTTTCAGAAAATTAAAAAAAAAAAGAAACCACTAAACTGAATAAGCCATTAACAAATTCCCAAAGGGGGAAAAACCCAGGCCCAGATGGATTTACAAAAGAGTTCTAACAAACATTCAAAAAATAATTAACTCCAGTATTACAAAAATTGTTTGCAAAGATAGAAAGAGAAGGAATCTTGCCAAAGTCTTCTCAGACAAATATGGTCCTGATATTCAAATCAGAGAAAAGACAAAGCAGAGGTAGAAAACTATGACCCAATATCTCTCATGAATGTTAATGCCAAAATAGTAAATAAAATATCAGCAAAGAGTCTGCCAATAACATATTCAAAAATTTATTCATTATGATTAAGTTGGATTTATACCAGGAATTCAGAGTTGGTACAGCACCATGAAAACTATGAACATTATAGACAATAACAAAAACAATAAAAATCATATAATTACATTAATAAATGTGAAAAAGATTTGACAAAACAAAATACATGTTAAAAACTCTAAAAAGTGTAGGAATAGACTTTTCCTTAATGTGATAAAATCATCTATCTAAAACCTAGACTTAACACTATTTGTAACAGAGAAACATTAGAGACCTTTCCAATAAGACTAAAGCAAAAACAACCATTGTCACCACTATTTAATATAGTTCTGTTGAAGAGAGATGAAGAAAATCATGACACCATGACGACTGTGTATTCTAATCTCAAGTGAGCTCTCACTGCGTCAGGGCCATCCTTCTCTTCCCTAATGGAGTTCCTATTCCACTCCCACACTGTCTTATCTTCCTTCAAGCATCCCTCAGAGCCACTATCCCTCCCTCTAAGCTAAGGACTTCAGCTCACACTTCTCTGAAAAAACTGCATGTGACTCCCAGATCTATGTATCTCGCCTTAGTCTCTTTCCCGAGGTGCAGTCACGTTATCATCATTTGCCTTTCAGACATCTCAAGATGGATGTTCCAAAGGCATCTCCAACTCAACGTATCCCAAACCGAACTCCTCATTTCTCTCACAAAATCCTCCCTTCTCTTCCTAACTTCCCCATTACCATCCAGGGTAGCACCACTCCTCAGTCACTGGTTCCTCACCCTCCCTCACCCCACACAGCCACACTACAACCAATCTTCTTTCTATTTTCGCATCTCTCACATACATCCCTTACTCTCCACTGAACACTGCCTTCATTCAAGTCTAGGCCCTTATCACCTCGCCTGGACGTTTGCAACAGCATCTCCCAGTGGGTCTGCCTGCCTCAAGCCTCTCCTTAGGCTAACCGACTCTTCCACTCAGTTACCTGTGTGAGACCTTCTCACTGAGTTGCCAAACATTTAGTAAACTGTGACCTGGAATTCGGAAATTTTCTGCCTTTGCTTCCAATTGTTTACTCTCCCTACATCAAGACTCAGCCACAAAGAAAATACACAGTCAAAAACTTGTGTGTTCTCCACAGAGGCTACTACAGATACAATAAGTTGAACAACATCTCCTCATCTTTTAAACTGTAGGGTCTAGATCACTTCTAGAACTCATTCATATCTGTAACTTCCAGGGGACCCTAGTGAGTTCAACTCAGGTTTGCTAGATCTAAGTTAATAAAGACACTGAGTATTCAAAGCCTATAAAAGGTTATTTGACAAAGCACAGCTTCAAACTTTAGTGTGATTCAGGTGAAATGCTTCCCTGAGGAAAAACAGGGGTGGGAACAAAAAGAAAAAAAACCTTTTGACTGTGTATTTTCTTTGTGGCTGAGTCTTGATGTAGGGAGAGTAAACAATTGGAAGCAAAGGCAGAAAATTTCCAAATTCCAGGTCACAGTTTACTAAATGTTTGGCAACTCAGTGAGAAGGTCTCACACAGGTACGTGCCGGGCACTCACCCGCTCCCTTGGGCCTGAACAAAGCAAACACATGCACAAGCACACAGACCTGTATTTACTCCAGAAAATGAATCTTTTGCCTTTAGAGGCACTGAGCACATGTCGTATTTACTGGGCATACAATGTACAAAGCAACAAAAAACCCAACATGGTAAAGGCCATGAACAGGCAGTGATATTTTCCCAGTTTTTAAATATTACCAAAGTTGATAACCACAGTTAACAACTTACATTTGGGTGACTAACTATAAAATCATGAAATTCATTTTTACTTGAGTTAGGTTTTACATTTCAAATGATGATTCTGGTACTGTATACATACATACATATACACATACATATATATATATATTTTTTTTTTCTCCCCTTTTTTGGGGGTGGGGTTAGGGTAGAATCTAGTTTCAAAAACCTAGGTTAATTTTTGGAAATATCTGATCTGTTGAAAGAATTAGAGCATGTTCCTCTAGCCGACATTTCACCCTTTACTATTTGATAAAAATGCTCAAGATAATTGTTGAGAAGGACCCTCAGCAACACATACTGTTGTATTTGCAAGGTAAGACCTTTTCTAGCTCTGTACTAGCATCACAAACAATTCAGTCAGATTTAAAAAAAAATTTCAAAAGGAACACTATGTATTTTAAAATCTCTCCTCAGGCCTAATACTATCATTGGTTTAGAGCTAAAATGCTGCCCTATTACTTTGCAATTCCTCCCCCCCCAAGTAAATTAGGATCAAATACAATTTTTAGATGTCCAATCAATTTTACAATCCAACTTGTATCAGTCTGTAAAGGAGATTTAACTTTATTTATGAGGACAAGGAGATGGCACAGTAGATACAGCATTATCCCTTGAGTCAGGAAGACCTCAGTTCAAACTTGATCTCAGATACTTTACTAGCTTTGTGACCTAAAGCAAGTCACTTAATCTCTGTTTGCCTCAGTTTCCTCATCTGCAAAATGGGGATAATAACAGCACCTACCCCTATGGTCATTGTGAGGATGAAATGAGATAATAATTGTAAGGTACTTGGCACAATGCCTGGCATGTGGTAGGTGTTATATAAATGTTACCTATCATTATTATTATTACCTTTAGCTGAATAATTGCTTTATTTTTAAATAAATAAATCTGTGCTATTATTACAAAAAATCTGAAATTTCATTGTAATTATCTTCTCTTCATTTCTCCATCAGGAAAAAGTCTTTGT